AAAACCTAATCAAATCTGCGCATTGGCCCAGAGCATCTATGCACCAAGTTTCATCAAAAATCAATGTATGGTTCTTGAGATATCAGTGGAACAGACAGACACACACACACACACGGACACCCAGACAGACACACACACTAACTGCAAAGACTCCCTTTTTGTGCTTCGCACAAGGGAGTCAGAAAGTCTTTACAGCAAAAATTATTTCCAGCTGAAATAAAGTATTTTACAGTATGAGACCCGCAATGGAGCAACAACCATCAGTATTTGATCAATCATACAGACCTTCTTGGACAAAGCTGGATATGTTTCTTGCCACAATCTTTCACTTATTTGGATTCTGGATAAGAGTATATCTTTAGTCCGAGCAGATTTCAGTAATCCTTATAAAAAATAAAATATTGTAGTAAAAAGAATAGCAGTAAGATAAAAAAAACATGGATCAGTGTAATATTGTTGTTAGACAACATTACAATCACTGTGTTAACATTGACAGTGTTGTGTTGCAGTGGTTACCACAGAGCAGTTAATTCCATGTTATTGACACACTTTGATAACCTGAGTCATTGTGTTAACACAACAAGTTTGACAGAGTTGTGTTCACAAATAGTTATTCCATGTTATTGACACACTTTGATAACCTGAGTCATTGTGTTAACACAAGTTTGACAGTGTTGTGTTCACAAATAGTTATTCCATGTTATTGACACAGTTTGATAACCTGAGTCATTGTGTTAACACAAGTTTGACAGTGTTGTGTTCACAAATAGTTGTCCCATGTTATTGACACACTTTGATAATCTGGGTCATTGTGTTAACACAAGTTTGACAGTGTTGTGTTCACAAATAGTTATTCGATGTTATTGACACACTTTGTCAATAACACAAGTCATTGTGTTATTGACAAGTCATTGTGTTATGATAACAAGTTTGATAGTGTTGTGTTAACTCAATGAGTTGTTGTGTTAACAAAAGTTTGACAGTGTTGTGTTCACAAATAGTCATCCATGCAATTGACACACTTTGATAACCTGTGTCATTGCGTTAACACAAGTCATTGTGTTATTGACAAGTCATTGTGTTATAATAACAAGTTTGATAGTGTTGTGTTAACTCAATGAGTTGTTGTGTTAACTCAATGAGTTGTTGTGTTAACTCAATGA